CCAGGAACACACTGTATGCGCGCCGCGGTCTGTCAACGGGGGGAGGGTGAGCATATATATATATATGTGTGTGTGCATAGATACATATATATATATATGTACACTTATAGTTAATGCTTTCATATATATGCGCGTGTGTGCGTGTATGTATGTATGTATGTATGTATGTATGTATGTATGTATGTATATATTTATGTTCAAAATATCATATATATATATGTACATGTATATATATAACGTTATTTTCTATTATTGTTATATGTATAAATATATATATATATATGCATGCATGCATGCATGCATATACATGTACAGGTACATGTACATACACATATACATATGCATACACACATACAAAGATACGTACATACATACATACATACATACATACATACATACATACATACATGCGTGCATGTGTTTTTTGAAGAGCCGGCGTTCCTTGAGGATCCCGGCCGGTAGCCTTGGGACTCTTGCTTGGCGCTGCTGGCCTTGAACAACACAGAGCAAATCCAACTGCTGCGGTTCGGGGGGCTTCGACCGTCTTCAGGGCATATACAGGGCCGTCGTCGGGGGAAAGTGTGGCCGCGGCCGCGTTGAGGTTACAGTTTTCTTGCCGACACTGGGCTTTGGAGTTTGTCGCTAAAGTGACGCCTTGGGCTTCCGGATCCTCGATGAACGCAGCATGGCTCGTAAGTGCCACTGGCCCAAACAGACTGCCGACGCTAGCGGGCGGCCCGGTAACACCACACAAACACAGCACCGGGGGCTTCTCCCAAGCTGTGTTTAAATCCTAATCACCATCACCATCATCATCATCATCATCATCATCATTCCATCATCATCACCATCATTAGCATCATCATTTCATCATCATCATCATCACCATCATTAGCATCATCATTTCATCATCATCATCATCACCATCATCATTTCATCATCAGCATCATCATCAGCATCATCTTAATCAGAGAGCCAAGGGGCCGAGGAGCTCGCCGGCCGAAGCCGCAGTGGCGTCGGACTTCGGAGCTGCTGGGGGTGCAACGTCGCGGGGTCGATCCAGATCCTCTACTTGGAGGTTCATGGGTAGTTATAAGTGGAGTTATAAGTCTCCGAATGTAGATTGTAAGTATAGTTACCCTACTTATAACCCTACTTATAACAACCCGTGAACCTCCAAGTAAAAGCCACTTCTTTCGAGGTTTCGGGGTGGATATCTCCTGGCATATGGTTTTTATAGGGTTTGAGAGGGGGTTGCTGCAGGATTCTATGAGGTCTCATATCCGTTTCTATTTCCCAAACAGTGTGGCTACATTGGGTTCTTACGCGCTCGGCAGTTCCATGGCTCCTGCTTTGACGCGGTGCACCTTTTCGACTCGAATCACGTTCTTTCCAGGTCTGCTGAATCGTGCCATGTGCATACTTTGGATGCGACTCGTGATTCCGGTTTCAAAGCCGTGTTCCTGTCAGTCCCGCACGTTTCCGGCTGCCGAAGTCCGTTCCCGCCAGTGCACTGCGTGGTCTGGGCTATGGTGCGATGTGGCGTGTATTTTGGCACTGTTTGGGTCGACGTGGTTTTTGTAAGGGCTCATGGTTTCTGAGAGGGTGTTGTTGTGGAGTTTAATTAATTCGCAGCCATGTCTGCTAGATTTCAGAAAGCTTCAAGAGAAATACATGACATCTATTGAGATGTCGGAGTGGGTCCTTTAGCATCCCGAACATCTGAAGCTTTTGCTTCAGAGTCAGAATCTGGACCCTAAACCTTCAACCTACGACATCCTAAGGTCCTACCCACATCCCACACAATCTCGTAGCGCTGGGCTCCTGTTCGCACTGCCCGGCCGGAAAGGTCGCGGAGCGTGCACCGGCAGAGTCCTCCCTGCATCCTTGTCCTTCTGCGTCTGAACCCTGAAGTAAGTGGGGATGCGCACCTCCCCCTCCACCTTCCCAAAGAACCCGGCCTGGGTAGTCGTGCGAGAGTGGCGTCGTCCATCATCCCAAGGTTATACGTAATGGGAAAACCAAGTGCAGCTAGGTCGCCCAACTGCCCAAAACGCGGATGGCTCCGCGCCACTCGCCACACTCGATGGGTGCTGTGTCGATCAGGACCTGGTTCTGGAGTGTGCAGGGGAATCGGTCGAGAAGAGGGTTGCTGGAAGATAGTGTTCCCGGCCAACCTCTTCTTCATGATATGAAGGACAGTCGACGTTACCGCCATAAAATCAAACCCTGTTGATGGAGTGAGACGATCCGGACACTAAGTGAGTCCAAGGGGCGTTGACATGCTGCCCTGGTCCGACCATGCAGTCCTTCCAGGGAAGCCTCTTCAACGGGTAATCGTGCACCCTAAACTGCCCCAAACCGTACATACCATTGCCTAAAAGCCTACTTCTCAAGAGAAGATAGAGGAAAATCTTGACAGGTAACCCTCAACATGTAGGCTTCTGGGATCACAGGTCGAGTCTGAAACTAAATCGTCCTTCCACGGAAGCCGCAAGGGACCCGTGTTGGAAAGCTGGATGCTCAACTTCGCGAGCACAAGGGCTCGATTGATGATCCTCGATTGCAAGCGACACTTCAGCTGGCACCCTACGAAAGCGGCGAGATCAAACAGCGACAGCTTGGACGCAGGACAGGCGAGTCTCTGAAGCTTGAAGCGTTTGGACTTCTGGTTCAGCACACTGGCGCCCATGTCCAAGAAGGGTGCCTTCCATCCGAAAGAGTCAATGTTCAGTTGAATCAGCAGAAGTTCTACGCACGGCAGGATCGGAACTGCAAAACTGACCCTCACAGGAGATGGGACAATCTCATCGACCGTAACCAAAAAATCAAAAGATATGAACCCTGATGTCACGCCAGCTTTTTGCACTGCAATACAAGAACGAAGCATGCGCGCAACATCGCAAGACCGTTGTGTGCCTGCCTCAAACTCTTCCCAGAGATTGTCTGGATTTGTCCAGGTGAACTTCTCCAGAAACTTCTTTGCTGCTGTAATTTCTGTGTCAATCTCCAGGCAGCCAACCTTCCACGCAGTGTGCTCGCGTCGTCCCCCAAGTCCCCCCAAAGCAACACCAGAAACCCTTGAAACTCTTCGACCATGAAACCCTAAAGCCCTCAACTCCAAAACTACAACGTAACCACAAACCCCCAAACATCATCGAACCCTAAACCTCAAAACCCACTCCCGGCCTCATAGTGGGGTCGGGATCTCATCTCTGCGGCGCGGGCTTCCTTCCAGGGACTCGCCACAAAACTGAGGTTTGTTAGGGTTTAAGGTGTAGGGTTACAAGACCTTTATGGGATCATCTAAAGGGTTGGTTCAAAGGATGTGTCTTGGGCCTTTACCAAAAGATGCAGGAATTCTTTTGGGCCTTGTTACGGGCTTCAGAAGGAATTTACGATTGGACATGTAGGTCCGTTACAACGTCTTGCAAGCTTGCACAAGGGATCATAGGGCCTCAGGCTTGGCTAGTCTGATCACTCTTGAAGGAGGGGGGTGTATAACCAGGAAACTACAGAATAATATATATATATATATGTATGTATATGTATATATATATATATATGTATATATGTATATATATATATATGTATATTCATATGTTTACACATGCATGCATATGCATGTGTACATATAACGGCATGTACATATAAATATGTGCCTATATATACAGATATATATATATATATATATACATAGGCGTGTGTGTCGTGTGTGTATACTAAAGGATAATATAACATAACACGACATAGCATAACACCAGATAACATAATACAACAGAATGTGATATGTATATGTGCATTTGTAGGTGTATACACATGTGCATGTGTATGTGTGTCTGTGCGTATGTCTATGTGTACGCATAAGAGGGAGCTAGATTACGGTTCTAACCACTATTCCTAGTAGTAGTTCACGTAGTAGTTGTTGTAGTTGTTGTTGTTTACACTTACCCACCTGTCTGTCTGTCTATCTACCTAGCTACCTACCTATCTGCATATGTCTGTATACATATATAAAATATGTATGTATTTGTATGTGTAAATTCTAGATAGAAAGATAGATAAATAAACAGATAGGTAGATAGATAGCTAGCTAGATAGGTAGATAGATAGATAAATAGATAGATAGATAGATAGATCAATCGAGAGATAATAGTTAGATAGCATCCATAGCGCATGCATGTGTATGTATAAATATATATATATATATACATGTACATATATATATATATACTGATCTATTCATTTAAACTTATTTGTTCATTGACTTATTTAATGTAATATATTTATTGAGTTATTTATTAAAAATACACGCATGAGAGCCTGAGCCCAAAACCATTCACCCTGCAGGCCCTGCACATTGCACCTTCTGGAAGTCGGCACCATCACCTTGTGCTACTCAGCCGGGCGCTGTGGGGAACGAGGATTATGAGGGTGATCCAAGGAGCAGGGCCTTCTTCCCATAATGACAATAACAACGTTCGTAGTAACTTGAAAAGGACAATGATATTAGGAAGGAAAGCAGTAACAGCGACAGCAGCGACCACCATCACCACCACCACAACAACAACCGCAACCAAAACCGCAACCATAACCGCAACCACAACCACAACAACAGCAGAGCCAAACAAACTGAGGGTAGTGACGATACAAGTCACAGGCTAATCATAGTCATAGTGAGAATAACAACAACAAGCAAGAGCAACAGTAAGGACAAAAAAACAACGACGAGAGATATAATGACAACAATGATCCTTCCGGGCTTGCCCGAGTGTTCTCTCAAGAACTTCAGACGAAACAAGTGACTCAGCTTCCAGAAGTGTGTGTCGCGGTAGGCATTGTGGAGGTGCAGCTTCACCTAACAGGACGCTCCAAGATGAAGTCAGGAAGGAAAGCATGGGATGCACAGGACACCGGCAACTCGCGCCCGCGCCTTCTTCGAATTACTTAAGCCTTGGCTGCAATCTTGTCAGGGGGTCAGCTGGATGAGGCTCGCGAAAAAGCGAGGGAAGCGGGAAGAGTAGCAATGCAGAAGCGCAGGCTTAAATGCCTCAGCAAATCTAAAGATTCGGTACTGGCCGGGATGCAAAGGAACGTGGCGAGTCGCTTCACCTGCTCAAGGCCTCAGCACCCGTGCCACATAGGAGCTTAACAAGCAAGCGGCCGCAAAGCACAACACTGGCATCGGCCGATTTTTGTTTGGATTTGGCGGCGTGCCGGTGCCTGTCCAGAGCTACATGGATGCGCATTTGCTACAATGCGCTCCAGGCCGGCTACGCCCCGTCGCCACTGCCCGCCACCTTGGGCTTCAGCGGCGCCTTCAGCGGCCCGGACCCTGGCGGCGTTGCGGGTAGCGGCGCTCGCCCCTGTCGCCCCGATCACCTTTGCGAACCTTCGAGGACCAAAGTTCCACCTCGCTGTGTCGGCGAGCTCGGGTCAGTGCACTTACAACACCGTTCAAGCTCGCAGAGGACACCTCCACCCCAAGGCGTTCTGCTTCGGAAAGCCAGTGCATGGCCCGGTCCACATCGCCAGCTCGAACCCAGGCCTGGGCAATGGAATTGTAGCAGAAAGAGCCCGGCTTCTCACCTTGGCTGGAAAGTGAAGAGATCATCTGCTTCATCCATTGCTCGGCTCTCTCGGGTTCCTGGGCAGTGCCGCAGGCATGGATCACGGTGCTGTAGGACACGTCATCCGGCTGGACATTGTGCTTTGGCATCTCTTGGAGCCACTTCTCGGCGCGATCCACGTCCAAGGCCTTGGCGCAGGCGTTCACCTCAGAGCTTCAGAAAGGGATCCGAGATCTTTTGTCCCAAGTTGCTATCACAAACTAGAAGCCTTACGGAATGTTACTGTCTCGTGATCCCCAGTGATCCCAAATAGTAGGTACACCCACCTACAGCTTTTCTTACACCCCCCGCCATCGAGTTGAAGGTGAGGACCCCCGGCTGCACCCCCTGGGCCGTCATCTTCTGAAACCAGTACTCGGCACGGGTGGCGTCCCCACAGCGCGCGCAGGCATTGATCACCTGGGTTCGTGTTGTAGGGAACTTAATATTCGCTGTCAAGTTCCCATTAGCAAGGGGAACGACATTATATGACATTATATACTGTAACTTACACGATGTATCTGTCTGTTGGTAACTCAAAAATAACACCCCTAACCGCACCCCAGCCACGCTGTTGTAGGTCACCACGTTGGCTGGGATGCCGTCGTGCTCCATCTGTTCGATCCAAGCCTAACGAATGAAGCGGGGGCATTCAATCATGTTCGTAGCCCGTCTGGGGAAGGCTGGAAGAGAAGAACCGACTGGGAACGACAGAGTTGCGACAGTTATGACATATGTCAACTATATGTATGGGTTTTTCTAACAACCGGGTGCCTCGGCCCGGCGCAGGCTGTTCGCCTTGGCACAGGCGTGGATCACCGAGGAGTAGCTGGCGACATCCGCCTGCGCGTTGGACTTCAGGAGCTTCTTCAGCCAGAACTCGGCGCGGTCCACGTCCCCCTTCCGAGCGCAGGCCGAGATGAGCGCGTTGTAGGTGGACTCGGAGCAGGCGAAGTGCCCGAACCCTCTAATTATCATGTAAACATATGTCCATCTGACAGGACGGAGACTCAGTAAGACGAGAAAGCAAACGGCCGCCTTGACACAACTCATCAAACTTCCTCTATACATGTCAGGTTGCGCCATTGACCTCGACGTTGGCACGGTCCATTCGCTCGAAGATGCGCTCCACCCGGCCAACGTCGCCCATCTTGGCGACCGTACCTTCATCAGGCTGGCGTGTCTAAGGAACGTCAAAAAAGGCACCGCTGATCGCATGCCAGGGTTGTTTCTTCATGTCTGCCGAGGCACTGATCAGCAACCCGTAGGTTGTGGCACCAACCTGCTAGAGACTCCATCCCAAGTACCGGGAAGGGGAGGCCCTCAGGTATGAAGCATGGCTAGTCATCATGCTGACGAAGCTAGACATCGCAAGTGCGCAGAGTTCCCACCTGGAGCCCAGAACGCTCCATCTTCTCGAGCCATTTCTCGGCCCGGTGCAAGTCGCCGCTCTGTGCAAAGGCATCGATCATGGTGCAGTAGCCTGGAGCGACGGCTGCCCTATGCCAAATGCTCTGTCTGTATCTTGCGCAGCAGAGCACCTAGGAGTCTCTGCCATAACATCCCTCCCTAATAACAGCCATAGCATCCCAGTCGCTGACGGCATCTGCCTGTACGCCGGCACTTGTCATTCGACAGAGCCATTCCTCGGCCTTCGAAGCGTCCTTGGCACGCATGCACACAGCAATGAAGGTGTTGTAGGCCGCGACGTCGGGCTTCACACCGGCACATTGCATCTCCTCCAGGAGCTTCTCAACGGCCTTGCAATCGGAGCAACGCGAGAAGGCCTTCAACGAGGTGTTGAAGCTGACACGATCAGCTTGGATGCCCTGTTCGCGCATCTGGCGTAGACGTCGCAGAACAGCATAGAAATCACCTTGACGGCTGTGAGTGTTGATGATCAGATTGAAGCAGATCGTGTTTGGGGTGACCTTCCGCTGCATCATCTGATCGAAGAGCTTGCCGGCCCTCACTGAATCGCCCATCTTGCTGCAAGCGCTGAAGAGCATGTTGTAAGAGACGGCATCTGCCTCCACTCCTGCCTCTGCCATACGCATCAGCCAGGTCTCGGCACCGTCGATGTCACCAGCCTTCGCCAACTTGTCGATAATCGTGCTGTAGCTGTTAACGGTGGGCTGGACTCCTCGTTGAGACATCTGCTCGAGCCAATGAGCTGCACGTCGAGTGTTGCCCTCCTTGCACCAAGCATTGATCACGGCATTGTAGCAGATGGCATTCGGCTCGGCGCCCTCCTTCGACATGCGCTCGAGCCAGCGCTCGGCCAGACTGGCATCGCAGCTGCGTGCACATGCGTGCAACACGGAGCTGTAGCTGACAACATTGGGGGTTGTGCCAGAAGCCTTCATCTTCTCAAGCCAACGCTCTGCCCGAACCACGTCCCCCGTCCTTGCGCAAGCATCGATGACGGCGTTGTAGCTCATGACATCCGGGCTCAATCCCAAAGAAGGCATCTTCACAAGCCAATATTCTGCACGATCAACAGCATTGGCTTTGGCACAGGCACTGATCAACATATTCAGGCAGATCCCGTTAGGGCTGCCAACACCGGAGGCTTCGAGAGCCTCCAGCCAATACTCCGCACGCTTCACGTCCCCGGCTTTAGCAAAGGCTGAGATCAAGGCTCCATAGCAAACCAAGCTGGGCTTGGTACCCTCGCCCAGAATCCTCTCCATCAGGGCCTCTGCTGCATCCGTGTCACCTGCCTTGGCAGCTGCCTGGAGCCGCCCAGCCAGGCCGGTGACATCTTCGTAGACACGCCGCTCACCGGGGCATGGCTTGCTCTTCTTGGTCGTGCTGTCCTGGCGGCGGCTGAGACCAAGTTCCAGGGCGAGAAGTACAACCACGACGGTCAACTCTTCCACCGCAGCTGGGACGGGAAGACGAAGGTCGATGGCGTTGAAGAGCATGGAGGTGAGAGCCGCCAGGACCATAGTCCGCAACGTAATGTTGAGCGTAGTGGAGCTGGTGAAGAACGAGTAGCATGAGCTGAGGACTGCCATGATGGAGTCCAGTAGTAGAGCTCTTAGTGAAAGAAGAGACAATGTGATGTGAACTCGAAGAGGTCGAGGTCGAGATCGCGATAGCAGCCGTTGATGAGGTTTCAAGCGGCTAACCATGCTAGAGCCAATGACGGCAGGCAACAAGCTTCTTTCAACATGGCATTTCATGACTTCGAAATGCTTCGAATCCTACTTCACGAGTGAGTTACTATGAACCCTTCAGCTTGCAGGCTGCAACGGACACGCGAAAGCCAAGGCATCTGCGAGTCTCGTTTTCGCGGAATCGGCTTCCGTCCACCCTGTCACGAGCTGAAGCATCGGGATCTCCTGATTACTTATCTTACATCTTGTCAAGATGTAGGATAATATGCACTGCCGGAACCCCGTCAGAATTCGTTGCAGTCATTGCTACTAAGCTACTATATCAGCACCTGGACAAATCCATGGGCTCGCCCGTGTTGCCGCAGAACGTTACCAACGTCAAGAACTCGGCTCCAGCTGCAGATGGCATATCGCTTGCTTTGCTGGCAGATCACTCATCATGTTAGAATGGTGCCAGGAAGAGAGCCGCACCACATCTGGACTTCAGACTATGGCCCGGGCTTCTGGATACCTCAGGCAGGTTGCAACGTGATCTACCGATATATCGATATCTGCCGTGCTTGCGATGTCGAAGGCTTGGAAATTGCAGGTCCCAAAACGCCAGACCTGCGTCACCAGGCATCCGAGGCACGTGATCTTGGATGCGAACTTCTCATGCGAGGGCATGTTGCCAGCGTGACAGGTCACCTCTGCTCAAGGACTGCAAGGTCACAACCGCCCAAGGGTGCAGCAGTGAGGCAGACAGAGGAAGAGAGACGGACAAACAGGAGCACAGAGAGCTGTACAAGCCAGTATATATCTCGCTCTCTTAGACACATGTGCGGATGTATGCATATATACTTTATTACGCATATGCATGTAGCATGTATGTGTGTATGTATGTATGTATGTATGTATGTATGTATGTATGTATGTATGTATGTAGGTATGTATGTTTGTATATACATGTATATATATATATATATACATACATGCACGTGTACATATGTATACATATATGTAAATATAAATAAAAAGATAAAATTAAAAATACAGATATATATATATATACATATTTATTTATCTATATTTATATACATACCTACATACATACATACATACATACATGCATGCATGCATGCATGCATACATACATACATACATACATACATACATACATACATGTATATACATGTGCACACATGTGTGTGTGTGTGTTTAGATTGATTCGCATATATATATATATATACATATATATATATATATATATATATCTATCTATCTATCTAT